TTTTTTGAAGAGGAAGTTCCCACTTATTTGCATTGGCTTTTGTTTTACAGCATACCATATACATTCCGCAGCCAACCTGGGGAAACCACCCAAAAGTTTTCATGATGGCTGGGTTATCTGTGAAGTCATACCGCTACTATGATCCAGCAACTCGTGGGCTGGATTTCCAAGGTCTGAATTTTGACTCCATAAATAGACCATGCTAATACTAGGTTGTCATTTACAATAAATCCTTTGGTGCAGAAATCATAGTCCAGTTCTGTTTGTAAACAAAGGAACTTTGAGGGGAGAAAGTGGAGTCCATGAACAGTGTTGTATGAATGTTCTCTCATTTTGACCTAAAAAAAGTGCTGGTTTATGCAAAATTACAAAACTGAGGAATGTCTCACCCAAACCTTAACAGGATGACTTAACCCAGCTGTTATCTGGGACCATTCTATCTCCCTAACTACAAGTTTTAGTCATCTCTCCTCATATAAAATGCATAATTTTATATTATATTTTTAATTTGTATTTCTTTATATCTAGCTCCCTATACTTCATGGGGAGAATATTACCTTGGTCTTGAAATGCTGTGCAGTACTAGTAAGAGGAATGGAATTTTTGATCTACAGGTTTGCTAGAGGATCTTGGTGCAGCACCTTCAGGAGCCATAGTGCTTCTTCATGCATGTGCTCACAACCCAACTGGTGTGGATCCAACTGTTGAGCAATGGAAGCAGATAAGGCAATTGCTAAGATCAAAAGGGCATTTGCCTTTTTTTGACAGTGCTTATCAGGTGATTGACAGTTGTTGGATAAACTTATGATATGGGTTATCTATGCTTCTAGTAGAATACTAGGTACTTTTTTCATTGACTAGTGGTCTACTGAAAATTGTCTGGCTGTCAATTTTATGTGTGTTGGTTGGTTACATAATTTCAGATTAACAAATGATTGACTCTTGACATTGCAGGGATTTGCAAGTGGTAGCCTTGATGCTGATGCACAGTCTGTGCGCATGTTTGTTGCAGATGGTGGTGAATGCCTTACAGCTCAAAGTTTTGCAAAAAACATGGGACTTTATGGGGAGCGTGTTGGTGCACTAAGCATTGTAAGATGCTAACTTCTAACTTCATAGAAATTTCTTTCATATGAATTCTTAAAAGTCAACTGACTACTGGATGAGTGGAAAAAAGAATTAGTGAACTCTGGATTTCTGATTTGATCCAAGATGTTAAGACTCAACCTAACTCCTTGTAGTTACAAAAGTACTATCCTCTTTGTAATTGGCTAACTACTATATCTAAAGTAGAGTTTTTCTTTCTTTTATTACAGGTCTGCAAGACAGCAGATGTTGCAACAAAGGTTGAGAGCCAATTGAAGCTTGTCATTAGGCCTATGTACTCTAGCCCACCTATTCATGGTGCATCTATTGTGGCCACCATTCTCAAGGACAGGTATTAGTTATTTTGATTTCTTGACTTTGTTAACTTGTATTTAGAAGTTGCTTCTTGTTGGGGGACACAAGTAAAATGGTGAAAATTTCCATTGATTCATAAATGCAAAGAAAGGAAATGAAAACTTACTCTTGAACTTAAAAGTTGCACAACCAGATTAAAATAGGAAGACTTCTGAACCATGATAAATATCATTACTTACTAGTTATTACTAATATGTGTGAGTGCCAAAGCCAATACACTGGATATTAAGAGATGTATTTTAGGCATTCATAACTAAGTACAGTTATTTTGAATTCTTAGCATATATGTTTTTCCTTTTTGAGCAAGATAATAAGTTAATAATTGTTTGTGAATACTGAACGAAGCTATTTTTTTATTTATGGTCTTCACCATCTAACTTTTTGCTTTTAATGTGATTATATTTTTGCAGTGACATGTATAATGAGTGGAAGGTTGAACTGAAAGCAATGGCAGATCGGATTATTAGCATGCGCCATCAGCTGTTTGATGCTTTAAGTGCTAAAGGTTTTAGTTAGTTCCTGAATTCTATCTTCGTTCTGGCTAAGTTTTAGAGTCACTGAACACATGTTTGTATGAATCAACCTAAGAACATGTGATACAGAATTGCAGACTCTGCTATCTCGTTAAAGATGCTATTGAGAAAAGCCAAACATCTGTGTATATATGAATTTTTCACTGTTAGCCAGGAGTAAGACCTATGGTGCATTAAATCAAAACTCATAGGGTAAATGCATTTCAATTACCCTTTTGCAGGCACTCCAGGTGACTGGAGTCACATTATCAAGCAGATTGGAATGTTTACTTTCACAGGACTGAACGGTGATCAAGTTGCCTTCATGACCAAAGAGTATCACATTTACATGACATCTGATGGGTAAATAATTTCTTCCCTTCAAGACTTTGCTTGCTTGCTTTGCCTTATATGTGCTTTCAGAGTTCTTCCAGCTTTCTTGCATGACTCATCTGTTTCCATCATACTCAGTATCATCCTTGTTTATTTCTCTCACCATATTTCATTGGTGGAGTTCTAACACACGGTTCTTTGGACATGCATGACTTTATCTGGCCTGCTAAATATGGTTGTGTACTTGCCTGGTTTAACATACATGAGGGCTTACATTCGTTATCCTAAACTGTTTGCAGGAGGATTAGTATGGCAGGTCTTAACTCTAAGAAAGTCCCTCATCTTGCAGATGCTATACATGCTGCAGTCACCCGTACCTCTTAGTCAGATTACATAAAGCAAGGACTTTTGTATTTTATAGTCTGCCTTGGCATGACAGTTTTTGCACTTCTCCTCAGGAACTTGGAATTTAAATGCCAGTTTGTTTAACATATTTTATGCTTTTAACTCATGTTTTTTATATAAAGAACTTGCCTTCATCAATACTATTGACCGTTTCCTTGTTTGCCTGTTTGCCTGTTTGGTCTAAGCTAATTTCATAGATTCTGTGAATAGATCATTTGGAGAATTGTTGAATGATGCATTCATGTAAAATAATTATAAACATTTTAGAAACAAAAATATATTTAGCAATTTGAATTGCCTTAAATTACAAAACAGTAACTATTAGATTAGATGATAAGGGATACCTGATAATGGTTACAAGACTCTATCTAATAGTTAGTGTTTTGTGGTTTCAATTGCAAAACATTACTCTTTAGAAATTAATTGAAATTATCAATGACAGAAGCGAAATAACAAAGGATCTATTTGTAAGTAATAGGTTTGGAGTATCAACTCTTAGCTCTTTAGAAGATGAATACAAGGTTTAGAAGAAGCAGAAGATCCCTTCTTCTTCTTTTTTCCCCTGAAAACTTTGTTTCGATCAGCATCAGTTTTTGTGGGCAAAGGCATGCTCCTTTATAATCATTAGAAAGTTATACATAGATGTCACGATATGAGAATTGGGGAGAGAGAGGGGTGTCCACAAACAACAAAATAAAACAGAAATATGGGAGGGAAACTGAAAATAAAGTTTCAATACATGTTTGAAGGCCAAAAATCAATTGCAGATCAGATCATTATAGCTAGAAAATTAGCACCTTCCCAGAGTGCCTCAATCCAATAATTCATCCTCAATGCTCACTTCCCTGTCCAGAAGGTGGAAGGAAGAACCACATAAGAACTACTTACTGTAAGTTTGTCCTACATGAGGTTGAATATTTACACAAGGTAAGCTTTTCTAGTCTTTATTTTTCTGTCTACATTTCTCTGCCCCCCCTCTCATTCATTTTCTCTCTTCTACTTCCCCTTATATGTGCTGGACATCAATGGCGACCACTTGGACTACGCGTTCCACTCATGCAGTTTTCAAGCCTCTCTAGATATGTACCTTTCTTTGGGGTGGCATTGGGCTTGACCATCATTGTGTCATTTTCACCTTTGCAGTAGCATTCCTGATCTTTTGGGAAGTTAGCTGCATCAATATTCCAACCCATGAAATCTAATAGTGTCTTCGAAGTTGGTGATCCTGAAGCATTCAACTTCTCCACCTCTTCTTCAGATTCCCCTGAAGATGAAGATTTTGATGATTTCTGAGCTTGAGCATCTGCATAAAGGACATCTTCAATCCTGGACAAAACTGTGTATGCTAAAGTCTCTAGTATCCTTGAGTAGCTCTCTAGAATAGACTGTCCCACATCCTGTGAAATTCAGGAAAAACAAAAGAGATGTAAGTTTTTGAAACATGCATGGGTTTCTTAGCAAGAAGAAAACATTAAACTCTTTTACTTCTTTAGGTCTTTCTTACCTTGTTGAATTGGATCTTAGATATGTCCAATTGAGATTGAGAAATTCCAGGAAATCGTTGTTTTATTATGAGTAAGATAGTTTCTGCCCTCTCTTCAAAGAGCTCCCTCTTTTCCAAGCTCACAGCTGAACCCCATGTAGACCTACTATCCTTCTGATGCATCTTCCTCTTCCAGATTACAATGGAAGCCTCAATCCTGTCTTTTAGGTCAAGCACTTTGTGTTCTGCGGAGAGATCCATGGTTGAGAGGAACTGCTCGGGATCAAAGTATTCCACTGTGATGTTCTTGTAAATTGATTCCCCAAGACTTGCTCTTCCATTCTACAAAACATATTCAAGAAAATCAATTAGAGTTGATTTATAGGGAAGAAATCAAGACACACAGCAGCATCCTTCAGTCCTTAGAAGTAATCCAGAAAAGTTCTACTCAAGGACAAGTGTGTTTTTGATGATTTTAGGAGCCAATTTTATGAAGGTTTCAGGTTTTTTCTTTTTTCTTCTTTTTTTTTAATACCTTGGGGAGGGACTCAATGTAGCTTTCAGGGATATCCATTTCAGACAAAACCTGAGCATTGATGGCCATGGCTGCTTTCAAAACCTGGTTCACTGAGTCCTTCTGAGACTGCAGCCATCTCCGGCATGACTCTGATAGGCCATTTGGAGGAACCTTAGCAACGGGATGCCACCATTTATCATCTTGCCTGCTCTGGGTGCTCTCATTATCCGAATCATTGGCATTTTTCTTCACATACCAGAATTCCTTATTCTCACTTCCAAAGTTGTCAAGGGTTTCCTATCCATCAATTTGGTCATGAATAAACACCATTAATCTCAAGTTGTTTTCATCACCATAAAATGAAAAGGGAATGATTAAGAACTCACAATTAGCATGGCATCAAGTTTTTTCAATGCAGGTATGTTTATCAGCAGATCCTTTCTTTGTCTTGTCACCATAACCTACATTTTTAGGAAAAACCGTAATCAAAACTTAAGAAGCAAGAAATCTGCACATAAAGAAAGAAAGGGAGAGAAAAATAACCTACTTCCATGTCTGTGCCATCCTTAGATGTCTGTTTTGAAGGAACAAACTCAACAATGTGATCAGTTACAGATAAAAGCCAATCAATTTCCTTCTTCCACCTTGTTCTCCTATCTGGAGCCATCGGTTCCAACTTGTGTATTTCTCCAAAGATTGATGCTGCACATAAACACATTTGTATGGATGATTAGGTAAAAAATTTGTGTTAGAAACCTGATCATGATTCCTCAGTCATAGAAATTATATAAATATCGTACCAGCAAGGTTTGTGATGGCATTTGACAAAGCCAAAGCAGAAGAAACTCCCTTTCCTCCTCCTGACATATCTTCTCCCAAAAGCAACTTACCAAACTTTTCCTTCATCATATCCATATCTATACCAAAATCATGAAGAACAGAGAAATTACCAAGAACATCTTTTATGGGAACATGTAAAGAGTAGTATATACATGCATATGATCTTCACCTGATGGTGGTTGCCGTTCCTTGGGACTTGCTGACGTTGGCTCTGCAGCAGTCTCTGGAATTTTAGAGACAGGAGATTTTTCCACAGCAAATGTTGCAGATTCTACTTCTTGTTTTGTCTCCAATGGACCATCTTCCCCATCATTTTTTAGGATCCCACTCAAAAAAATTTTCCCTGGAATATCAAACATTTTCTTCGACTTGTGATGAAAAGATCTCAACTTCTGAATGCTGCGATTCCCACCGTGCAAAGTTAGAACCATTTCAAATTCAAGCTTCACTTTGTATACCAATAAAACAAAGGAAAAGCAACAAGAATCTTGAAAAAAAATATATTCAAGTTTCTTGGAAGATGAATTTTCTGATTCTACAGAGTTTTAGGAGATGGAGAAATATGAATTAATGGTTTGGTGGGATTTTATTGTTCTTCCTGCGGATGTAGAGATCAAGAGAATGGCGGGGGCATGTTTTGAAGACGAGGGCATTAAAAAATAAACAAGAAATTAATTAGGAGCAAAATTTTGTTGGGATTTTGTTAAAAAATATGAATGCAATGCTGGCAAACGAAGGAAAGACACACAAATTTAACTGAATAACTAACTTCTGTCCTCCCTTCCCTACATTAACATGATTTATTCATACAGCCATTTTAAGAAAACAACAATTTCTTGGGAAAATCCCCCTTTTTTCTTTTTTGGAAGTTTAGAAAACCAATAAGATCAGTCATAATAAACAACAAGAGATTAACCAAATTAGTATCTATTAAGTTATAAACTTTAATTTAAATTTAAAATTAGAGATTTAAATCTTTATAATATCGAATAACTAACCTTTCAATGGTAAAAGAAAAAAAAAATCAGCCATAATTAAAAAGGGGTGGGAATTATTATGTCAATTCTTTTGATCAACGAAATTATTATGTGAACTTGTACTCTTATTAAATTATAAAGATTTGGGCTGAAATTTTAAGAAGTTTCATGTTCGGTATGTCCTAGATAAATAGTTCTAAAAATATCATCAGTTTATGGTAGAAAAATAGAAAAACACTATTAAATAATTTTCAGGCATTCTTGATTTTTTAAAGAAATATTTAGTTTGCGGAAAACAGATAATAAAAAATGAGAGGGATAAATTTCTTTACCAATTAAATCATATGCCAAGGTTATGGTTTGATTGGTCAAAAAATAATTAAGGTTAATTATTTTTTTATGGGAAATAGAGAAATATATTAAGTAATAAGAAATTACAGCAGAATATCCATCTCATGACATATAGTCAAAATTAGAATAACCTAAAGACAAAATTAGAAGCATAACCAACAAACTTAAATTATACCCATGACGGACATAGACAATTAAGCAAAGAGAGTCATCTGCAACTAGGGATTGAATTTACAATCGTTGTATGGGTTAAATAGGGTTACTAATGTAGAAAGGAAGTCACTGTGAGTGTTAAGAACTACTGGATATCCTCACCTATTTAACTAGCTTCTTGAGGAGAGCAAGGGATTTCGACAACAAATAGTCCCCAACTCACAAGTTGCCGCCCTACTTGTTGTTAAAAAAGAACAATCAAGAGAGATATAGGACTTTTCTTGACAAGCATAAGGCCCCCTAATTGCCTCCCTATATTCCCAATCATGTTCCCATATTTGTCGATCCTTTTCAAACCCATTGTGTCTAAACTCATTAAGGGAACTAGAGTCCCTTTTTCGGCTTGAAAATCATGCTTCCCACGCAGACCACAGCCGGCCTTACCAACAACATCCCTTTCTTTTGGCAATCGGCTAGCTGATTGAGAACTGGTGTGAACCAGATTCACCAAATTCGATCCCCGCCAAGGTTCCATTAGAGGAGTTGCACCAAAGCGAGATTCTTGCCTATTAAATAGGAGAAACCCACTTCATCGGCAAGATCAATTCCAATTGCAGCTTTCGAAAATCAATAGATGTAAACCCTAGAAAACCCAAAAAGTTGTTGCCTTGTGGTCCCTTGGGTTGGAGTTTCCAAAGCAAGACAGTGACAAGATGAAGGAGAACATGAAGAGGAGATCAAGAGGAGGAAGGGAGGGCTAAGAAGAAAGGAAGGATGAAGAAACTCCTCTGCCAAAGAAAAACCCTAGGGAGGAAAACCCACTGCCACGACTCTCAACCTTAGAAGCAGTGCATGAGAGAAATCCTTGAAGTTAATTAGTTGGTTTGAGAGGAGGGGAGGAAAGGTGAAAAATATCGCTTATTTGGGTAAAAAAAGTTGAAGGGGATGGGAGGGTTGGAGGGTAGGGGCTTTCCCCTTTAACTCTTGCTTCAATTTTCTTTGTGCATTTGAGTGTCTCTTAAGGAGGGAAAGGAGGGGAAGGGAGACCAATAACTTTTGCTATGGAGAGAATAATTGAAATAGATAGGAAATTTTATATAATAATTTTTTATAATATATATCATGAATTGAATAAAAACTAAAGATATATCAATGTGATTTGTGCATCATTAGTAATAAGTAGACTTAAAATATCCAATGCAAACTATAGAGTTTCACATAATTAATATAATACATTTTTATTTATTTTAGGTGTATTTAATTTGCAAAGAATGTAGAAGGAATTTCCAAGGAAGCCATGAGCCCATGCATGGTTGGCTTGGTTCAAGATTCAATAATTTTAGCATAAAAACTAATACAATAATATAATCGACTATGTTATAAATATAATTGATTTTAAAGAAAATATATTGTTCATATAATCCATTATATTAAGAGAATAATTAACTACATAAGTTTTTGTCAATATCGACAATTATATTCAAAATGTTAACTGAGCATATATTCCCAAAAGATTTTCTTTCAGGTTTAATTGAGAAGCACTTTTAGTAGTACATAATCAATTATATCCATTTGTAATCGATTATACCCTATGCTCCTAGAATGTAATTAAGTAAAAGTGAATCACCTCCAGTAAGAGAGAAAATTAGAAAAATTCCATTCTTATAGCTCTAGCAAAGATCATGTCCTTTCATGGTGTGAACCTAATATGATACCAGTTGATTGGACCTGTCACCTATAATGAGGAATATCCCCCTCCAATTTTGGTTTGCATATGGACAAAGGACGTGGCCCTCAATCATATGTGGGAGGTTAAATGTCAAGTTTGGTACATCAATTTTAAAATTTTATATAATTTTGATTTTTTAAAATTTTTTATATATTTTTTAACTATAAAAAATATATTTTTTAATTATTTTATCAGTTAATCTATGAAATTTGTTTATATATGTATATTTTTAATTCTTTAATTTTAAAATTTTACATAATTTTTACCTTTCTAAGTAAAAGTTTTTTTCTTCTTTTTTTTTTTTGAATATATTAGCATGAGACCAGATCAAACCAGGCCCAATGAGAGGGGGAGTGCATCATTTTTCAATGTGGCCAATGTCACTAGGTACGAAAGGTTAAGCGTTCTCAAGGTAAAAGTTTAAGAATTAAAAATGTATATATATATAAATATATTTAATGGATTAATTAATGAAATGACTAAAAAAAATGTATGTTTATAATTGAGAGCAAAAAAAGGCGTACAAAATTAAGAGTCTAAAACTATACAAAAGTCCAAAATTAAGGGACCAAAATTGACATACGTGGGAACTGTTACTTGGTCCTCAATGAGTGGACACTAATGTAGGGATACCTAACACCTCCCTCCTCCCCAAATGTAAAAGCTTGTGTAAATTGTGGACGACAATTGATAACAGAATCTAGCATTTAATCAATCTGATGATATATAAAATTTCAGAGAAAATAAAGGCTTTAAAATTTTATTTCAATTTTAAAATAAATACCTGCCAATTGTGGAAGATAAATGTCACTAAAATGTTTCCTTTTTCTTTCGTTTGTTGTTGGTCATTATCACTGTTCCTTTCACCGACCATTTTAATGTTAATAATAAACTTGCCGACAATTGATGCTCAACTAAGAGAATTGTGGAGAATTATTAAGTAATTAAATATTTCAGTGTTAATCTCTTTTTATTAAAATTAAAAAATTTTGAATTTAAATTGTATATTATACAAGTGGAATGAATTAAAAAATAAAAAAAATTATCTTTCATTGTATAACTAAAATCCAACAATAAAAAATTGTAAAGAATCGGTGATCTATTAGTTTAACCTTGCAAAAATTTTTAGAGTAGGCATCTATTTACATCAAGGACGGAGCCAAA